CCCAGGGGAGTGATGGGAGAGGTAGGGACAGGACTTGGTTTAGATTAGGCTAGTGTGCTTGTACAGCCCACACTGCCCTTTCTGTAGGGACTGTCCCAGCTGGGATCTTGCTGGTCAGTCCTGTCACTCTTGGCTACATGGCTGTCCTTTTTCTGTATTCTCACTGCTGAGGCTGATTAGCTGTCATTAGCTGTCACCCCCAGGATCCCCAACCACAGAATATCCTGCCCAGACGCTACATCTCCCTGAGCCTCTCACTTAGGGATGGCTTAGAAAATAGCCCCACCTTAGGCTGTTGATTGCTCGAGCTGTGTATTAGGCCTGCCCAGCCCCGACAGCAGTAGCATTTTGGGTCTTACAGAAACAGACCCATAAGACAACCTGTAAGAGTCAAGGAGCTGTATTGGCACTGATCCTGAGGGCACTCTGGAATATCCCTCTCAAAGCCTAGGGAAGACCTCGACGTGACAATTCTAGGCTGTGTTTTATATGCCTCCAAGAGATCTGGGTTTTAGACGATGGATTCCTTATATCCAAGACTTTTCCCAGCCTCTTGAGAGCAAAGCTGTGATAAAGGCAAAGGTGGTTTGACTTCAGTAATCTTGCCTAAAGGTTCTGAGTCCTTGACAATGTACATTCAAGACGAAGTCCTTGTCCTGCTTCAGTTCTGTGATACGAGAGAGATATAGTGTGTTTCACTGTGGCATTCTTCAGTCAAAATGGGAGAGGATATGGAAATGTCAGGCAATAGTCAACGTTTCACCTCCATAGCATACACAGATCACATGGCCCTCACAATATTTTTAGGTAACTAACATGAATTTTATTTTATTTTTAAATTTAATTAATTTATTTTTTAGAAGTAGGGTCTTACTCTGTCACCCAGGCTGGAGTGCACTGGCAGGATTCATAGCTCACTACAGCCTCATACTCCTGGGCTCAAGTGATCCTCCTGCGTCAGCCTCCCAAGTAGCTAGGACCACAGATGCTCATCACCATACCCAGCTAATATTTTATGTTTTGTGGAGATGAAGTCTTGCTGTGTTGCCTAGACTGGTCTTGAACTCCTGGCCTCAAAAAATCCTCCCTCTTTGGCCTCCCAAAGTGCTGAAGTTATAAATGTGGGCCACCACACCTGGCCAGAATTTTAGTATCATGAACAGCTCTGACCTTGGAAAGCTTGGATGAGAAGATTGATTTTCCCTCTATCACATTTGTAGCAATGACTGTCAAAACAGGAGAAAATTTGATCAAATATATATAACACAGCTTAGTGCATTAGTAGTCCATTGGACAGGTCTGGCCTGGGGGCTACTGTCATTGGTTGAGGAAACATTAGCTCTTTCCTACTTATATTCATCTGTGGAGAGTAGAACAGGGATGGTACTCTCCTTTATGTTCACTTGTCATCCCACAGCGGGGAGAAATTGACAGTTAGCATGTAGCATCCTGTAGAATTCTATTTAACTTTCTTCTCAGTGGAATGTGGGCATGGTTCTTTCAACCTGACTTCATACATGGAGAGCTGGGCAAGTGCTCTATCACTTCACCTAATTGAGAATGCGAACAAGACTTTTCAGAGATGTCACCAACGTGGAATCACACAGGAACCCAAATGTATGATCTGAGTATTGATCCAAGCCTTCTATTTGCAGTTCCACTGTTAGAATTAAAGAAACAGGTGTTACTCTCTGACACAGCAAGCTCTTTTTAAAGTAGAGCAAAATAGAGCAAAATAAAAGACAGTGTCCTAGCACTGTCTTTTAAAACATGTTTCTCAATACATTGGAATCATATTTGATAACCATGTGGCTTTTTATGCCCTGATGATGCAGCCATTTTATTCATATAATGCAAGAGTAACATCTGAAAGTGATTGAACCTATTGCCCAATTACTAGAATAAAGAACATACATCTTCACTCAAACTCAAGTGCTTACCTTTGGCTGATGAATATTGGCATTCAACAAGATAATCCTCTTCTTGGCTCTGTTCTTGGGTGCTTTCCAGGTTCATCTCCACATGGAGGTGGCATTTGATCCTGACCTGTGCCCTTCTGAGGAGCTGCGATTTTCTTAACATGCCAGTCTCGTCTAGATCATGAAAACATACAACTCTGCACTTCACTGAAAGCAAAGGATGTCAATTCTGTGGACTTCTGTCTGAAGCATTATCTCCATTTCACTGCTGTTTAATACCTTTGAAAAGCTTGCTAGGAAACAGCAGTGATTTTGGAGAATGTGTAGAAGAGAAAGGCACTCTGTTTCCCTAGAACAGGGATTAAGGTGAGGCAGGGACCTGTCTGCTATGTGCACCACTGCTGTATGGGCAAACGTGGCCACTGGGACAGGATTCGCCCCTCAAGTCTGCTGTGGGAGGGGAAAATTACCAGGAACGACTGTTCCAGGTCCTCAAACAGTGCTTCTAAATTGTAAAATATATTTTAATTAATAAAATTTTTGTAAGAAATTCAAGCATTATGGTGAAGTGCCCTGGACAGTGCCTGGCATGTGTTGAGTGCTGCCTAAGTGCTTGCTGTGTGTGTACAGCAGTGTGCTTGGGCCATATGGCACCAGTCTCCATAGAATAGCTTCGGTTTTTGGCCTATATTATCCATTAGCCTCTGAACTATTTTGAGGGCATCACACAAAAGCGTTGAGTTCTATTGGGCTCTGTTTACTGTCAGGATGTTGTCATGGATGTTGTTTATCCCATTACACAAAGTCTTTCTGTGAAAACAAGAGAAGTTTCTCCCTTGCCCGAAATAGTCACACTTCTCCAAGGCAGTCAATTTCATTTTATCCTACTGATCTGGGCATCTTTTAACTGATCGTGCTTCTCCTTTTTCATTGGCTGCTAGAGTGGATCCAGGCTTTTGATTCACTTCCAGTGTGTGTTGTGGTCTCTATGGCATGCATTTTGTTTATTAACTGAACTTCAATTTACTTTCTTACCCTTATTTTTGTTTGTTTGTCAACTGGTAAAAATAGCTGTCCCTCTGGGTGATTGTATGGGCAGACTGTTTATTATAACAAAGAGCATACTATACTTGATTTAAATAAGACATAGTTGGTGTGGTGCTTGTTGGAGTCTTGTGGAATCTTCCCTTTGGTCTTTCCTTCACTTCCTGCTGGAGAAGTGGCAGCCACCAGTGCTAGACAGCTCCATGTACATGCTGATTTTAGCACTGGTGCAAAGCTTCACGTGGATGTCTCGGTCTATTTCTATTCTCTGTCCACTGAAAATCACCATCATGTATGTTCTTTGACAGAGAAGAATTTGATCTGTTATTAAGAATTATTTTCCATTCTTTTCTTCCTGGGTTCTGAGAAAATGTAGGTTATAATATGTCCGTGGATGCTAGTCAGAGAGTTTGACTGTGTGAGAACTGGAATATTAATTAATGTAACAATAATAAACTGCTGGCAACAAAGAAGTCATTTGCAATTGTTGAGGCCCTTTGTGGCATGAAAGAGCTTCCTTAACAGTGAACAAGACACTGTTCAGTGTCCAGAGGGGCTGGAGTAGCAGGCCATGAGTGTGTGGCGGCAGGTGCTGTGTTTGCCACCTAGATGTGCCTGGCATAGCTGTCCTGGGAGGTGGCCCCTGGGCTTGTCCTCCCACTGCACCCTCAACACTCCTCACTAGCAAGATACCAGGGTTTGCATGCAGAATGCTTGGTCCCCATTTCTGTCCTAGGACTGGGCATGGCTCTGTCACCTGCCCTCACTTAGGTATTTCATTGGGAAGGGGCAGCATGTGGGGAAGAAGGAGGTGCCCTTTCTCATGGAGGGAAGTGGGAGAGCCCATTCTAAAAGTTGAAATGTGGTCAAATGGTCTCAGGACAAGGTGCGCCAATGCTGGGCCTTTCTGATTCACCCCTTTGCACAATTGTGACTTTCCTCTGGGGTGGTGGACACCTGCCTCATGAATATCGGAGCATTGGTTTCACTAGACCAGCTCGGATCATCATGATAGCCACTTCCCCATTTAGCAATAAGATTTTTTTCAGACTGCCAAGCATCTGCATGGCCTGTCACAGGCCAGCCTGGTTTCCGCCTTCGATTTGGCATGGAGGAAGGGGCATTGGTGGTGTTGGGGCCAACTCGGTGCCATTAGCGACTGCTTCCCTCCTCTTTGCCCACAACCAGGTCAGACACACCCTAGAAAGTGACAGCTCCTGTCTCTGTTTAGGACATTCAATAAGATTCTACCTCTCCTCTACCACTTCATGTCTTCTCCCTTTCCTGTTTTCTATAGTTTCTGGCCACTTTCCATTTCCTGTGTTTTCTCCCTGAGATCCCTCTGGCTGTTAGCTTCTTCTCTAGTTGTTTCACCTTAGTTTGCTTCTCTCAGCTCTAGCACTACGGAAACAGGACTTGGCTGCCTGGCTGCTGAAGCCCTTGTTGGGGGATGGGAGATGATTGGGTGGGAAGAGACATGTGAATAGATAAAGGACCTTGCAGTTTGCACCCCCCATCTTCCATGCTCACTGTGATGTTCAGGTTGAACCTCCATGCAGCAAGGTGTGCCTTGGCCTCAGAGAAGCCTGGTGTGGAAGTTAGGAGATACCAAGATCTGTGCATGAGCTGTTCCCACATAGTTCCTTGGTGAATGGTCCCAGCTCTCTGGTCTCCTCAAAGAGCAGACCCTCGTTGTTGCCAAACCTCTGAAGGCTGTGGCTCCAGCTAAACCAGACCCAGCAAGTCCAGGCAAGTCAAGCACTGCTGGGTCTGGAGCTCCGCTGAGGCCCTCCTAGCCAGAGGTGAGGTCATCCAGGGGCTGGTTGAGCCAACTTACAGGGCACACCTTTTGATGGCATGTGGTCTGGTCCTCCTCGTGGTAGTTTTGAAATCTTGTCTCCTGTTTTTGGTGGGTGATTTTGTACATATAATCAGTGAAATTGTCCTCACAAATTGCATACATTGCATGTTCCATTTGGAAGTTGGTAAGATGTTTTTCCAACCCTTTAAGTGTATCCTTTTTTCTCCTCCCTTTAGTCCCAGGTAAATCACCACGGTGCTGCTAGTAACGAAACCTACCAGGAACGCCTGGCACGTCTAGAAGGAGATAAGGAGTCCCTCATATTACAGGTGGGTCCTTTTTGATGGGAACGAGCTTATCATGTTACCTTCAACTCTGTAGCCTCCCTTAAGTGGTAGGGAGCACCTGAGCTTTTCTGTGTTGGGATTTTTCTGCTCCCAAAGTGTATGGTTTTGTGTCGTGCTTTTGTTTTTAATTTTCTTTTCTTTTTAAATGCTCTCTCATCAGAATCACCAAAGTGTATGGTTTTAAAAAAAGACTTTTCCTGAAATAAAGAAGAAGGTAACTGGGGGCACAATTTAACTCTAGACTTGGCTTTAGGGGGCTGTGAATTGATTTATTCATTATGTACTACCAAGTATCTGCCTCTATGCACGGGAAGCCCTGTGGCCAGGCTGACTGCCAGGCACTAAGAATGAACAAAGTGGGCCCTGTCCTCCAGGAGCCCCTGAGTCATGTCACTAATGAAACAAAGCTGTGCGTGATACAGGCCTGAGGGTGAACGCTAGTGGGATCAAATCCAAACTGTCTGAAGCTGGATCTAGACTGATCACTTTCATGCCAGATCTCCTGGAGCTGGTGACATGGGCTAAGCCTTTGATGGCTCTCTTGCTTTGAAAAGAGAA